GAAACGTAGTGAGAACCAGAACAATCCTTACGACTGATTATGGTCACCCTTTTGTTTTAGAATAAGTTATAATGTCTACTATGGTTTCCTATATGTATTACAAAGTAGGCCTCTAGTTAAATATACTATTTCTTTGTTTTAAGGTTTAGTAAGTAAGAAACAGGATTCTCTATTGTGTCTATGTTAAGTAGATTAGAGGAACATTGAAGGCCTGGGTCTCAATGTAAATTGTCTTGGTTATTGATTGTAAAACTTAGCAAGGTTTAATTTGCAATGCCTTTTTGCTCCATATAAAATACTACTGTTTATATTCTCAATCTGTGTGAATAAGGAATGTATGCATCAGGAAAAGATAAGGTGCGAAGGCCATTGTTATAGGCCTTCAAGGAAGAATGAGTGAAGAGACTTAAAGGACATCAAAGAATCATCAACGCGCATCCATAATGAAGGGCAGATTGACGACCCTGAGGTGAAGGCTGGCACCCCTAAGGACAATTGATTAAATTGGAACAAAGGACAGGATGATCCTCTTGAGGTGTATTGGAATGTTTACACCAATTAAGAAGTAACTGGTCACAAACTGACACAGCAAAATCCATAGGCTTCAACAGAGGAAAAAAACCTATAAGAACAGGGTGCTTGGCCATGGGACTTCAGGTTCGTCTTGCCACACTCCAGGAGCATCGGATCGCGACCGATAGAGCCCCACTCCCCTCTGCAACCAATCTGGCTGGCCACTAGATTGATCCAGACTCTGGACTGGTAACTATAAACATCACTGCAGGACTATGTGTGCGTGTGTGTGTCTAAAAAGCATATGCTAACTGTGGTATTCTCAATAAATGCTGTGTATTTACCTTCCTCTATAAAGATCCCGTGTGCTTTGTATGAGCATAACATTGCGGCAGGACATCCTGGACTATCTGCTCCACCTCAAGCTCCAGGGCTTGTCATTGTCTTTGGTCAAGGTTCACCTGGCAGCCATTTCCGCATTCCACCCTCTGTTTCAAGGCAGGTCGGTCTTCGCCCATCCTATGATGGCATGGTTCCTGAAAGGGCTGGAGCACCTTTACCTGCATGTCAGGGACCCGGTCCCACCTTGGGACCTCGGTCTCATGCTGTCAAAGCTCCTGGGCCCTCCCTTTGAGCCCTTGGCTTCCTGCTCCCTTTTGCTTCTCTCCTGGAGAGAAGATCACCATCTTGGTCGCTATAACTTCGGCCTGTTGGGTGTCTGAGATCAAGGTGCTCACGTCGGAGCCCCTTTTTAGTCTTCTATAAGGACAAGGTCCAGTTGCGTCCTCACCCAGCCTTTGTGCCCAAGGTAGTTTCCCAATTCCACATGAGCCAAGATATCTACTTACCGGTCCTATGTCCAAAACCTCATGCGACGGATGAGGAGTGCAGGCTGCACGGCCTGAACATCAGGCGGGCACTGGCCTTCTAGATTGAAAGAACAAAGCTGTTCCATCAGTCAACACAGTTGTTCGTGGCTGTTGCTGACAGGATGAAAGGTTGCGTGGTGTCAGCCCAGAGACTCTTGTCCTGGATCACAGCCTCCATCCATTACTGCTGCAAGCTGGCGAAGGTGCCCTCAC